GCAGCGGGTGTCGATCGGGAGGTGCTTGCGCCGAGGCAGTCTTGTTGCGCGCTGTTTGAGTTGCCGGGCGGCCGACAGTCACAGGGTCGCGCAGCGTACATCCAGCCTGCTGCCTTGGAATCTCGATGGCCAGGGGTCCGAGCGCGGAGCCCTTCCGCCCCGGTCAGGTTGGGCTTGGGCTTGGGCCGCTTTGTGGAGTTTTCCGGGACGGGTTTGAAAGCGGCTCTGTGGGCAATGCCGGAACTTGCCGGCCCAAGCGGCCTTGTCGCGTGCAAAAACCCTTATCCCCCGCATACTGCCCGATCCGATGCCCAGACGGACCGGAGCGATCCCCGATGCTGCCCTGTGTACTGCAGCCTTCCACTTCCGAAACCAGACCGGACCGCTTGCCGCACCCCCAAAATGTCGGATCAGCCCCATGTGAACCTACCTGCAGGTGCATCTGGAGCCGGATCCTGCGGCCAAGGGTTTCGCGGTCATACGGCAGTCCAGCATAGTAGCGGGTTCGGTGCGATTGGCGCAATCGACCGGTCGTGGCGTGCGTGCGAGGTTGCGAAGCACCCGAGTCTGGACATCGTTGCAGCTGGGTGTCGGTGGATTTCTGTCCGAGCGCTCCCTGCATTCGGTGATCTCGGTATATCGGGGGATCGGATGGCCGTCGAAACCGCCGCCACGTTTCGTTCCCCTGTTTTGAGCTCAGACGACATGCCGTGCTGGTATGGCTGCGGCTCGTCAAGAGTCTCCAGCACCCTTGGCCTTGGCGAGTAGCTTTGCGTGCGGTGGTCACGGCGGAGAGACGGCTGCTCGTTTTCGATGTGAGCTTTCAAGCTCTCAGATACATTCATAGGAGGAAAAAAAAGAAGAAAAAAGATGGCGGAAAATGAGCCAAAATTTGTTTCCCGGGTAAACTGTTACACCAGCGTAACCAACATGTCTACCAAGCCCGCCATCGCAGGGCTACGATGACGCAGCTCATGGCCTACAGAAGAGCAAGAGGAGGTCAAAGACCGTGGGAAGGGGTCTCGCTTAAGCAAGATCGATGGGCTTCAATCAACCCAGCAGTCCCGAGACCACTGTATCGTAGAAGGGCACCTTGCGAGGAGAAAAGAAGCGATCATCTTCCAGTTTGCCCAGGCCTCCTTGCATCTCCGCACCGCCTGGCTCCTTGCCGTCCCGTACTGTCGACGTCTCCCCGCAGATGCTTTTAAAGAAGCTTTCGGCCGGTACAGGACAGACTGCGACGAGAGCGGATGCCTGCTCCGGGGTCTTTTCAAGTTGCTCAGGAGCCGATCTGATATATCGCATCCAGCAGCGAACCGCCGATGCGTTTGACTACAACGCGCGAAATTTGACGCGCACTTCCGCACCAGCACTTCCCGCACCAGGGTCCAGACGCGTTCCGCAACTCAGCTGCAGCGCGCTCGAGTGTCGGATTCCCACCACCTGCTCTCACGTAGCTCTTTGCTTTGCCACTCTAGGGGCATGACAGCACCGTTCGTCCCTTAGGAGACACCCGGTCTTGCTCCAGGTCGTCGCAGGACGAGCGGTCGATGGAAAGTTGAGCAACAGCCGGCCTCATTTTGAGCTGAAGAGTCCCTGTCCGCCACACAAGCCGAGAATGAAATGTCCGACAGTGCTGGATCGACGAGTCGTGCAGCGGCAGCCACAGGCCACGCCAAGGCGCCTGCTCCTGGTGGACCCATCCGATGATCCATGTAGTCATAGCGAGGCTGCAAGCTGCACACCGACGCCTGCGTCCGCCCGTCACACCCGCGTCATCCCATCCAGTGACGCTGCTCCCGCCGTGCCTGAACCAGTTGAACGAGATTCTTCCTCCATGGCTTTGACACCTCGCTGCGCCCAGCGCCTCGAAACGATGCCAGCTATGCAGCCAGCCCGGCCTCGACAGGTTTGTATACCGGAGACTGGTAGTCTGACTCGCTGGCGCTCCGCCTTTGAGAGACAAGCGGGAGCATGCAGGTTGGATGAGGCGTCCACTCGTGCTGCTGGAGGCCAGGCCACGGACCACGGAACCGCACGACTTGCGCACACTCTAGACGTCCTTGCTCGCGCAGCCTGGACAAAGCCAATCTCACTGCCAGGCGCTGATCGTACGTCGATAGGCACGGGCAGTGACGTGCGGTGTTGGATCAGATGCTTGGCACCATCGTCGTCGCTTCTTCTAGAGTGGACAAGTCGACTGCTTGCTTCTGTACTCCCACCATCTCCACGTCGTTCGCACCTCTTTGCCTTTTGCCCTTTGCCACTTGCAAGCCCTGTTTTCCATTTCTTTCGCCATCGATTCTGCCTCTTTCGAGGTCGTTCCCAACACTCTCTCTTTCGCTGCGCTCTTTTGCCTTTTTTTGCCTCGTTACCGCCCAGCCCTGCATCCCAAGCCACTCGACTGGATCGAGCCGAGCTTGTGTTTCTGCCCAACCCTTGCCAACACCGATTCGCCCTCCCGACTCGACCATCTCTTCCGCTGTAGCCTCTGGAAGCGACGACAGCTCGAGACTGCAGAACCGTCAGAGTTCAGGAACGTGCTCAGACCGCTTTATTTGTTTTGCAACCCCTTGCAGAGGAGTCAAGCTCTAAGCTCGTCCTGTCAACTTGACACTCCGCCTCGCTTGCCCCGCATCTGACTCGCGAGCGCCTTCACGTGTCGATAGACAGTGACCTGTTGTCGGGCGAGAGACACGCCACCCCACCCGCCGCCTTTCGATCCTCGTGCTCCCACCCCCTTTTCGCCCTTCGCAAGACTGTAGTGACCCGACCCGACGTGACCCGACCCGACTCGACCCCTCCGACTCAGACACAGACCAACCAACCGACAGCCTAAAGAGACAGCGACAGAGAGAGCGCTGCCAACGCCGAAGAAAGAAAAGATTTCAAAGAAAGACAGGAACTCGACACACACTCGACCCGCCACCCCTTCGCCACCGGTCCCTGGTCCCCGGCTCTTCCTCGAACACCCTCTAGACCGTCCAAAGGAGCACAACCAAGGAAGCACTCCTATCGTATCCGATCGGGCATCGCCAGACACTCGATCGAAACGCAGCCAAGGTGAGTCTAGATTCTCGTCGTGCATCGTTTCCGTCGGATGGACCATGTTTGTGAGAAGAGCGCAGGGTCCCTGCTCGGCTGGCGCGACACAAGTGAAGGTACCAGGCACGCCGCACCTAGGAGCTGCATGACTTATGCAGAGCGGAGCGGAGCAGCGCGAGGCGATGGGCGCCACCTGCTGCGTGGCCATTTGCGCAAACGCATGCCGCTCGGCCAGCTGCGAACGACGACGCCGAGGTGGGAGGCGGATAGGCGGGTTGGCGGGTCGGCGGGTCGGCGGGTCGGCGAATCTGTATCTGCGCCTAGGCGTCGTCGGGCTGCGAATCAGAGGCGCGCCATGATTCGACTCTGCCTTGAAATTCGAAAGGCGTTTGGATCGTGGCTTTGCACGCTGGCCCACGAGGCTACTCTCGTCTCCCACAGGCGGTCGCGCTGCACTCGAGCGTAAGCTTCGGTAAAGCACAGACCCCGGCAGGAACGGCGTTGTCCCGCCATTTTAGGTTTGGCCGTGCTCCGTCAGGCGCAAGCCCGCCCGCTTCCAGCACTTGGCCGCCTCGCTTGGGTCAGATTAACCCACCGGGATCTGCTCTCTCTCAGGCAGGATTCGCATGGAGACTGCGAGTGCCTCTGCCCGGTATCGTTGAGCCGTCTCGGTAGACGCTTCTGCCGAGGCGGCAAAAGTGTACCAGGGGCGTCGCATCAAGGCGCCTCGCCTCGTACAGAAGCGCCGCGACGCAGAGTCGAGATTGCAAACACCGGTGGCGCGAAGCTTCCAAGCGAAGGTTCGCCTTACGGTGGCTGATTGGACTGGCGGTCGAGGCCTGCGCTATGCTACACCAGCGGTGGCAAATCGCCTCCTCGCACTCGCTGTTGGAGCGGCTGGCCTTTGGTGTAGCACGGAGCGGATGCTGCGATTTACGGGCGCCAGGCGACTCGCCCGTATTTCCAAGCTCGGTCGAGCTGAGACCAACACCTGAAGACGCCACTTGCTACGCGTCGCAACGCGTCGCGGTTTGCGCTCTTTCTGATGCGCTCTCGTTGATGCTGGCCGCCGCCGTTCTGTATGCTTGCCGCACCGTTGGATGAATCGCCACCGACATTTGTCGGATGGAACGTCGACCATCGGAGTAGCGCTCCGCTGCGAATTTGCGATCGCCTCGCAGCGGCCTGGCGGATCGGGAAGTGCCGAGCTTCGGAGACAGGGCGGCGTTGTGCAGCTGGAGAGCGTCGGCTTGGGGCGACCCCACCAGGAACCCCGAGCTCTGGCCGCCTGGCGCTTAGAGATTGGGGTCGGTCGCTCTCTGCTCGTGCGGTGTGCTTTGCTTTGCTCCTCATCGAAGTTGGCCGTCCGCTCGTCGAGCGATGCGTTGCAGCGAAAGTTCGCAGCGACCTCGGAATGGAGCCAAGCGGATCACACTGGGCTTGGGAAAATCCGAGCTGCACAGTGTGGCTGGCCCGACCATCGAGCCAGCGCGTTGACAGTTGCGGAGTCTAGCCACTCGCAGCGGGCATGCCAGAGCTCGAGAAATCGAGAAATGAAATCGACGATCTCTCGCGGGCCACCGAGCCAAGCCACGACGGAGAGTCGGATTTCGATTTCATTTTCTTTCCTCTTCTGGCTCCTCTCGCTGGCGACTTCTCTCCCGAGGTGGGGAAGGGGAAATTGGAGAAAGCCCGAGGAGGGAGGAATTCGAATTTTTGGAAAGGGTGTGGTCGGGCTGGCTTGACCCGTTTTGGCAAGGCTTGGACCGGACGGGCGCGTTTCCCAGGCATTCCAGCTCCTTAGCAGCCGTGTCCTCATCGGCGGCTGCATCTCCTGCACCGCTCACAGGCTAAGGTTTCGCATTCCCGAGCCGCTGCGTTTCGACAACCGCACTCGATCGAGCCTTTCGCGCCTGGGCGGCTTCAGCACTTCCCTTTGGGCCGTGCTTCGGGCGAGCTCGTGCCTGAACCAGGCAGCAAGAGAGCTTTCTCCACCTTTTACGACGCAGTCGGACTTGCTACCTTTCTTTGGATTTGCTCCTCCGACTCGGCGATAGAGATTGGACTCTCTTGCACCGGCCTCGTCTGCCTTGCTTGCCTCTTGCCGCACCGGAGCCATGCACTTGCATGCCCGTCTCGATGGCACGCCTTGGTTCGAATCGCTCGCCGAGGACGCTTGTGCTGCTGCTTCGTTGGCCCAAGCTTGCATGGACCCGCGCTGCTTGTTTGGCTGTGCCCGTTCATGCAGCGCTGTGGCGATGCTGGGCTGAAGCGATCCCAGGCAAGGGGCCGCCAGGGCGTGATGGAACGGGACAGACGTCGATCCTCGCAACGCTGCAAGGCGTGCCTGTCGCGACCAGCAGCAGGAATGACAGACGCCCTTGCGAGCCTGGCCTGGAATGAGCAGGGCCAGGGGGGGTGGGGGGGGGCGCTT